TTGTTGAAAGAGAGAGAGAGAGAGAGAGAGAAGAGTGGAGTGGAAGATCTGGGAGTGGTGCTAGTAGAGAAGGCTAGGAACCGAGAGTTGTGGAACAGCATAATCGCCAAAGTCAATGGCACTTAGGGCGCGTTCATGCTTGATTTTGACGGCCAGAATCAGGCATCTGTTACGCGTTTAGTTTAAAACACGATTGCGTTCATGCTCACTTTTGTAGAATCACCGAAAAACGGCGATCACGATCGCCGATCGTAAACTCACAAAAAGATGCGTTTACAATTTGTAAACGCGTTTAAATGGGGTCAACGCACTGACCTCTAGTGGGTCTACGTAGCATGCGCACACAGGTTTGCGAATCCAGCTGAAGGCCACCCAAGGAGAATTGCCTGGAGAAGTGAGCATGAACAGTGCACCGTGGAACTGCGATTACGATGAGCGTTTACGATGAGCGTTACAAATCGCTCATTCTGCCTTCAAAATCAAGCATGAACGCGCCCCAAGAGAGAGAGAGAGAGAGAGAGATAGTGCTGATCCTATGGACTATATAGGTAGGACATTGTCCGGTCGGGTGGTCGGGTTACATGACCTTTCAAGCAACGAATCCAGCAGGACAATAGTTTATTGAAGTTACACTCGATACGCAAGATTGGATTAATGGGAAATCATGTGATCAAGTTTTTTTTATACTGCGTCAGGCCTTATTCAAAAGGTGGCGATTCAGAGAGTGGAGAATCTGTATACAATATGAGCATGCAAGCCTGAATCCGATGAAAGGGGTATATAATATATTTTGTAAAACGCTTGGAGACACTGTTTCTATAGACCCACTAAGCGCTTTATAGACCCAAATTACTATCATTTTGGCTTCACCGTTCATATTTGATTCTTCATATTTACAATACCGTAGGCCTAGATACGGGTTGTTTTACAATCAGGGTACACACTAGAAAAACTCCCCTTGATGGCCGTTAAAAACAAAACAATGAACAGCCGAGAAAAATCTTCCTTGGTAAACTATTTTGCACCGTTAGATCAACCTACAACAGAGAAGAAATTGTTTGAAACGACCAACTACTTTTCAAAATATGTAATTATATGCCGTTTTTTCACATTTTTGCTGTCTCGTTTCATTTGTGCAAAGTTTGAGCATGTGCATATCTGACATACGTACCCCAAAAACATTATCAACTATCAGAATTAGCTCTTCCAACGGGTCTTTGTAAGATCTGAATTGGGTGTAATATTTTGGCAAATATACAAATTTTAACTTTGCACCAAAAATGAGGTGCAAAATGTGTCAAAAAATGTCCTATCCGAAATCAGCATTATAATTTAAAGTAAGACGGCACTCAACTAATTATTTTGTCCTCCATGAAAAGAATCACTAATAACGTACAAAATATTAACTTTTCCCACGCTTACTCAGTTTTTGGTAAATGCGCGTTTCAAATTTGTTTGTCAGGGGTGTGTCAAAAAGTGTCCTCTCCGAAAAAGCGACATTTTTTAATCAGCACTCCCTCAAGAAGAGCCACATTTTGAAACCAAATTTAAATGTTATTAGTAGTCCTAACATTGTTTTTTCATGTGCAATAGATAATGTCTTGTTTTGTTAAATATTCACACTAATTTTGAAGTAACATTACGAGCCAGAGCAATATGACACTGAGTTCCCATAGGACATCTATTTCTTTAGATGGTCATATATCAGCCAATACTTAACATATTCAATTGATTTTCGACATTTGGACATTTTTTTATGCTCTTTCGGAAAATGATGAAACAATTGGGAAATTCCAAAAATAGATTTTTATGATGTCACTGCTTTGGTACTCTTTAGTCTTACCAATCCACTTTACCAAAGCTCAACATTACTTGTCATTCATAAGCTTCAAAAGGGATAAAGAAATATGCTTCTTACAAAAACAAGCAACAGTTGTTTAACTTGTTTTTTAACAAAAGTTGTATTCCTTGTGCAAATGATTAAAAAAAAAAAAAAAAGATAGAACATGGTAATGACACATTATTTCATTCCAATACAATGATTGCGATGGACTTTCAGTAAGTCCTCTGCTGCATTTAGAGAAAACTACTTTGGAGAGAACATTGTAGGCCTTGTATAATGGTTGGCATATATCTCTCAGTTTAGATGTTTAGTTAGCAGAGTGATATAAGGGGCATGCCCAAAAATTATGTTCATGAGACATAAAACTTCTGTCTAAGATTGTACATAACTAAGTTGCACACATAGAATTTGTGTTGATACGGAAAGATGGATCACGAGCATAAACCAATCATATGTCAAAATATAATGTCCTCTCTGAATGTTAGTGTAAAGCATGTAAAATCTTCAAAACACTGATATATGGTTAACTATTCCTAAAAACTTGTAACTATACATAATCACAGTATTGTGTCCATGTACCTTCTTACAATATTTAGTACAATGTGAATCCAGTTTTTAGTACCGGCAAGTCTTACACGTGAGGGACAATATCTACGATGGGTGATTGAAGATCTATATGCAGATCATAAATGGGTGCTAACAGGGATAAAATATGTTCTAATAAACCTTACATATATACCCAGTTTCATTTATGCCATAAAATAATGAATCATAATTGTAGCAGGCAGTTCCAACTGCATGTAAACAAAAAAAATGTCCTCTCCGAACTAAAAATTGCCCTCTCCGAACGGTTTTTTGAGGCCCCTTATCTCAAGAACCACTATCCTTTTATTCTGGAAGTTGGTATGCAAAAGCACCCTTACCATATGTAGCTGTGCAGTACAGAATATAGGGTCGAACCGCTGTTTTTTTTTTAATTAGTAACTTCATGCTGTCAGGCCATCATTGTGTGGTATGTAAAGATGCAAAACTGAATTTTACATGAATAAAACCATTTTGCACTTGAACAATTGAGTTGCATTCTGACTCCATATCATCAAGTTATCAAACTATGTCATTCACATTTACCCAAAGAAACAATAAATATTTTCTTTCTGCATAATATCATCAGGTGACACTTGATTCTATTTTTTTCATTAAGGACAGGTTTAATGCTTGAAAAAGAAAAGTTTGACACTTGTAGCCCTGAAATATTATATATACAACACACAAACGAAAATTCAGAAGAATCAAAGGAACTTTTTTTTTCACCCCAAGTGAGACAAAGTGTGTACCCTGATTGTAAAACAACCCATATCTAAGGTTGTCCCGTGTCTGTTGTAAAATGTATTAAAATAGAATTGCACGCAAATATTTATTATGGCTCTGAAGAATGCTGTTCTTCAGTATTATCTCCTTTTCAGCCTATATATCTGTCCTAGTCTTTATCTGTTCCTAAATTTGTCTAGTCTCCTCTCCAGTTTGTCTTTCTCATTTCTCCACGCTCTCTCTCTCTCTCTCTCTCTCTATTATTGTATTCTCAGTCCTTCTAATCTTCTACCACATTTGTTTTAATTTCCTTCTGTAACTCATTCTCCTTCTATTATCCTCTAGTCATCCGTTTCAATCTCTTCTCTTGTTTCTCTGTCTTTTCTTTTTTTAATCTCCTTGATTATTCACTGTGAAATGCTATTCATAATTTGTAATCAAATGTATCAAAGGCTTTTGACAGATCAATAAAATACACCGATAGTGAGTAAATTATCTTCGAATGCATTAATTATTTTACGGAAAAAGATATTATATATATATATATCTATATATATGTATCATAAATCAATTGATTTGGTCGATCCAGTTCGATTGCACAAACACGGCACTAATGGACAGAGATCCTAATAATTACAAAGCTTGGTCTTGTTGCTCTGTTCGCCAGCAGTTTAAGGATATGGAATCCCGCGGCACATTACTTACAAGTATTAATGCTGATTGGGGTCCATGGGTAAAAAAAAATGTTACCAGTGACCTTTGACCTACACAGTCACGAGGGAGCATATTAAAATAGATACAGAAAAATCTAAGGGAGGAGCCGAATTCAAAACAATATAGCAACTCACGTTTGAAATTTGGAATGTTTGTATAGTATTTACCTGAAAATTAAACATATGACAAACAAATTTTTCGTCTTAGGAATAAAACTTTTTTTATCAAGGGTAGAAACAGTTATGCCCTCCTTACCTTTTGGATCAATACCGTCCATCATTTGAGACCAAACCAGTTTTATTGAAGTTTAAAGTTTTTATTTGTTCCACATTTACATCAATAAGCAATTTAAATTATTTTTGTTATACAAGCGTATAAGCGTAGATTACAAACACACAAAGTCAAAGATTTCAAATGAAGTATAATGTACGGAAAATAGGTACGAAGTTTCAAAATATATAGATATGACAGGCAAGTTAAAACAATGTATAATGTGGGAAGCCTAAATGAAAAGCATAGCTTGTATGTAAATAGGCTCCCGTACTGAGTAATCAATAGGTCGGAATTTATAAAGGTATTATACGAGGTGTAAACGTAGTGGTATAGTATGAAATTCTAGAGACGTACAAGGAGAGTGATTTTGAGAAGAAAAGAAAAATAGAATAAAGAGTAAAGAAGATAACATAATAGTTATAAAACTGTATGAGAAGGTGGAAAAGGAGAGGAAGAAGAGGAAAACGAAAAAGAAGTGGATTAAGATGGGGCAGAAGGAGAAGAAGAAGAAGAGAGAAGCAAATTGATCAAATCAATGGCATTGCATAATAACAAAAACAAAGTCTGTATGATATCACAAACAATACAATGTCGTAATCTCCATAATCCTGTGATGATTTTAGTGGGGTTTTTTTTACATTTTAATTGCACTACCTGCATAACAATTTGGAAGGAGAAAGTGTATCTGTAATTTCAGTAAAATGCCAGTAAAGCCTTAAAAGGGCTTATTCCCGTTTAATATGGTTAAACTATACCATATAATGTGAACGAGTTAATTCAATCGTGTAAATAAGCAATAAAGCAACACCATGTTTCTTGGTGGATATTATCAATGCCCGTCACTATTCTAGTCTTACTAAAATCACACGTTAACGGGTTTCTTTATTAGTAAAACCGGGAGCATCAGTGAAAAAACCAAGATGTCTACAGCGGCTAGAAATTTGAAAGTGGCATTGTAGGATGAAAACATTCCAGCGATGAGACCTGCGAATCAAACAGACACAAGAAGAAGAAATAGGTTTATGATGTTGAAGTCACACGAAATATTGAATTTCTCTATGAGTCTTATCACAGTGAACATGATCATGATATAATTGGCCTAAATCTGAACCTGGCTATCGCCGATTTTGGTGAAATTATTGTGAAATTCGAAAACAAATAAGACCTATGGCCTAGAAGGGGGTAATTAAATCCACGAAGACTCCTTTGGCCATAAGCTAAACTTGTTATTGAGAAAGTTCGTATAAACGAATATGTTTTAGACAAAGTAATATTCATTGTTTTATGCTTTACGAATAAAAACATGTTATCACTTCATAACTTACGACGGCGTGGATTAATACATTGTTATAGGCAATACATACTGCACAGTGATAAGTCCGATAAGTCAGACTGGTATAAATGAAAATCTAAAACAATCCAAGACGTTGCCAAATATCCTTGTCTTTAAAAAAAAAAAACTCGAGATTAGACAAATAAATTGTATTCCGTGAGGCATCATAGACAAACTGATATAAAAAACGGATGGCAAGTAGAATTCCCGAAGGACAAAATAACGAAATGAAGGTAGTAACGTTATAACTCCTCCCCTCATCCATTTTGTCACCAATTAGGAACTATATCCACGGTTAAGGATTAGGAAGAGAGATAGTATAAGCGAGTTCGTAATTAGGATTTGCGCGTGGGCAGATAAAGGTCATTCGTACCCAAATTGTAAAACCATTGAGACGAAACTGACGAATACTCGGATCGTGCTCATGAAAGTTATGTAATCAGTATTCATTTATGCACCAACAGTACATTTATCTGATACACAGGTGGAAGTATTTTTCTCAAGAGGCAAACAAAAGGTATTCATGAAGCACCACCATCCCTTTGGCAGTGACTATTCTAAAATGCACAGTCATGTGGGATGTATCCATCGTGTAAAAGATCTGTGGATATTTTGGGGTCATGCGTTCCAGAGCTATTTACGAACTCGCTTATTGGCCTGTTCTGCAGCCCTATCACCCATCAAATTCCTGTATGAAAAGCACGAACCTGCAGAGTTTCTCCTCATAGGTCATTTTTTGATATAACACTTATGATTTTGAGAACACATAGCACAACCACACAATAGATAATTATCCGAAAACTAATTAGATACCTGTAATCTTGAAAAAAATTCTTACCTGATAGGTAGCCTCCAAGGAAGGTTCCAAGGCCGAAGAATTGGTCATTAACTGCATATGCAACGTCGAAGTTTGCAGGAGATGCTCTTTTCCTCACTGCCAGTGGTCCCAGCACAGACATTCCAGCGATGCTGAGAGCAGATACACACGCCGTTACTAACATAACGTAGTAATGATGAATGAACGCATCACACAGAATGGCAAATGCATTTACCAAGGCAGCTACGAGGAACAGAAGGATGGGGTTCGCCAAGCGGTCGGAGAGGGCGCCTGCCAAGAGTCTTCCGAGAAAATTTCCTACCGAGGCAAATAAAGTCATCAAGATGGTAGCACGGATGGAGTACCCTCTCAGAATGGCATGGGGCACCAGAAAAGCATGCCAGCCACAGTAGAGCACACCGTAAATGAAAGTTGATACAAACATGACGTTAAATATTGGGTCCCTGTAGAAATCGGACCGGCGTATACTATCACGAATACTATCAAGGATCGACCTGGAACTAGCGTCTTGTTCTTGAGATTCCTTCAGGATCTTGTCGACTGCTGTAGATTCCATAGACGGGTCATCATCAAGCAACTGATGCTCAGGTTGATAAGATGATGTGCCAGGACTGCTTTCGAGGCTTAACAGTGTTGTATCTTCCTCCTCGGTCGGGCGATCGTTGCAGAATCTTTCTTCAGATGGACCACTTTCCTCGAAAGTATCAATGTTTGCACTTCGACCCGTTGTTCGGTCCTGACCCGAGGCTGGTTCTACCTGAATGGTCATGGCTAAAGGGACTAGGTTGGCCATTAGGCCACCTAGGATAAGAACACCGCCTCTCCAACCGTAAACTTGACCTAAGACATCAGCCAGGATTGGTAGAAGAACCATGCCAAGGCCGAACCCGCTCATACCCACACCATACAATAGGTTGAAGTTCTGGTTGCTTGCGAGTTGGTCCAAGGCGAGTGTTAAAGATAGTGTTAGCATGCAATGTCCAATACCTGTCAATGTGTAAACAAAACCTTTTTTAATCACATCAGTTCTTTCTTTTTGTAAATTAAAGAAGAAAGAAAAGATATTCTTGGTATAGTTCCAAATTTAAAATATGCATGATAGGAATCATAAAACCTTTTGGGTTCCTTGATTATTTGCAATGAACACATGCCGCCTTGTGTTAAAAAGTGATCATCAATGTGGATACATTTTTCTGAACTGGTCAAGGTGCAAGTGTAACTTAGTTTGTCACACGTTTTTATCAACTACATCTATATTTATAGCATTTTTGATAGTGGCATGGAGTTGGTAACCCTACTATAAGAGCTTGAATCTGACTAAAATAAAGGAAATTTACTTTTAATATTGTATGTTCGGAAGTAAAGTTCGAGATCAAAAGAGTTTATAAATATGACTACATTCTGATTTTTGTCTCTTGACGAAAATCTTACCGGCTATTGATAAGTAGATAGCGACCAGGCCGTTGTTGGTTGCCAAAGCTGTCAGAATGACACCCAGAGATATCAAACATGCTCCCAAGATCATGATCACACGACGAAGCGATCTCACACGGTAGAGGGCGACAATCAAGGGAGCTATGTCGGACAAAACACGGTGGAAGAAAATCTTTAATTAAATACGTACAAATATTATGACCTAGATAATCAGAAACATACAATCAGATGTACACACGCAAATTACATTGTCTTTTGAACCCTAAGGTGATTTTCAAATTTTAAAAAAAGTTTTCGAAACTACTCTGATATTATTATTATTATTATTATTATTATTATTATTATTATTATTATTATTACTTATACCGCGCTTTTCCCATAAGGCCCAAAGCGCTTACAGTGAATGAAAATAAAAATGACATAAATACGTATAATTAGTAAAATAGTCTTACAAGTGTTACGGTTCTTCTTTCAGAGTGCAATTCACACAATTATAGGAACTGTGTATGGCGTAAAAACATTAAATAAATCAAGCAACAGGTCTTTCATCATGTTCATTGCGGAAATAATAATAATAATAATAATAATAATAATAATAGCCTAATAGTCCACTCCAAATTATATTAAACCGAAATAGAAATTCTTTTTGTCCAATTGATAACCCCCTAGAGAATGACAAATTCTGGATTTGGTGTACACTGCAAAGTACATGTAGAGTGTTTTGTACTAAAAATGCGCATCCTGTAAAAACAAGAATATATTAATTTGCGATATCATTAAATGACTTATCCAACACATTATCTGATCATTTATTTTCTTTATGTGACGTGACAACATTATATCGCATGTTATCTGTTTAAAAAACGGTTTTTATAACCCCATATTCTGAGTACATAACGCTTTTATGTTTCAATTCGCATTACAAAATGTGTATCATATCTACCAATCAAATGCATTTTTTTACTGGTGTATAACTTAAAACTTATAATAAAAATTGTATCGATTTTAATCAAACGTCTTCATCAAATCAAACAAATTTGTAACCAAAAATTGAAAATCAAGATATTTTATATTCGTTCAAATTTGAGCAAAAGACGGCATTTAAATAATAATAATAAGAAGAAAAAAAACGCATTATTTCTTTGTATTATTACTAGAGTTTTAGCGTGGATGCAAATCGTAACCCCCCCCCCCCCCCTCCCCCCAATGCCAATAATTATGTCCTTATTTTTGGCTCGTATCACAAGTATAATAATCGCGAAAACATTGAAGAAATTAACTTATTGGCACTTTCTGTACAAAATTGTCTTCATATATCAAGTTCAGATTACATAAAATGTCATAGTCATGTTCGCTCATTTTAAAAGGTGATGCACAAGGTCATTAAAATTGCCTTTATTCAATAGGTTATTGCGGTTCCATGACACATGCTCCGCCGACGATTGCTCCGCCGACTTTTACTCCGCAAAACGCGACAATTGCTCCGCGACATTTGCTCCGCGACAGTTGCTCCGCCGACAGTTGCTCCGCCGACATTTGCTCCGCCGACAATTGCTCCTCGAATGACAGTTGCTCCGCCGACAATTGCTCCGCCGACAATTGCTCCGCAAAACGCGACAATTGCTCAGGTGACATTTGCTCTGCCGACAATTGCTCCGCCGACATTTGTTCCGCCTGAAGCGACACTTGCTCCGGTGACACCGACAATTGCTCCGCCGACATTTGCTCTGCTAAGAAAGTGCCCCGTAAAATACAAAGGCTACTACGACAATAATTGTTGCTCCTCCCCAAAAGTACCCCGCAAAAGACAATGCTCCACCGACAATTAAATTGCTCTCTGATCCAAAAGTGCGGCCTTGTGGAAGACATGAATGCTCCTCTGGCAATTAGTGCAATAAATGCTCAGCCGTTTTTTGCTATTCCCCATAATGTTTGATTTAAAAAAACATCAAGTTTTAGCTCCTTATGCAAGTTCTCCGGCGAAAGATAATTACTCCGCTCAAAATCTGTTTCATTTGCATTAGTCGATCAAAAGCTCAAGGCTATCTCTCTCTCTCTCTCTCTTGCTCTTCCTTTTCCTTTTTACACCCTTTTCTTGTCTTCTTAGCTCTTTTCTTTCCTCTCATGCTATTAGTCTTCTTTCATTTTCATCACTTCTTCTTTTCTTCCCCTCTAGAGTTCTATTTCTCTCGTGAAATTGTAACGTAATGTAGTACATGTAGTACATTCTTGTTTAGAATAGTATTTTCAATAATATCCAGTCCGTTTTCTATAGGTTTCTTTCCTTCAGTTAAAGAGAAGGTTGAGTTATGGGACTCGAGTGAACAATAATTTGTGAGCGTTATCATTCTTATTATGCAAGTGTGGAAGAACATTAATAAGACATGTTCCCTGAAAAGCATGGCTCTTCAAATGCCTTCAAATTCTAAATATGTCATGTAACATCGTAAAACTCGGGGGTGGGATTTTTACGCCACGTGTTCGTGTAGTCCCATATACATCTTTCTGTGTACAGTGTTTGTAACTTTACCAAGACTTGGCCAAATTTCTTATAATTTTGATGATTCCAGAACCTTGCAATACACACAAATTCTTATATGCTAGATGATCAACCTTTTCTGTTCGATTCTATACCGGTTTCTTTCACAATGTAATCGCATGACCAGAACTCAACTTCATCTTTAAGTGTATGTAGCTTTACTTTATATATATATTAGTGTGTAAAATCGTTTGAGCTAGTGCTATTCGGTGTGGCGTACACATGGCAATCACATATAGATAAAATTATGATCATCAGTACTGGGTCGAATAAATTAAAGAGAACTGAATTTGAACCCGGGCCATAGGCTACCCCCTCTCGTTCTCTCTCCCTCTCTCTCCCTCTTCGTCGCCTTACTTTTCCCTCTCTTACCTCCCTGTGCATTTGTATGCCTCGATAATACAAAAAATAAACAATAAGATTCTTCCTCTTCCCCTCCTTCTTCCTAGTACATGTAGTAGGAGTAGTAATAGAAGCAGTATCACAATAATAATGGCAACAATTATTATTATGGTTGGTGGTGTTACTAATGTTATTTTTGTAATTATCAGGTGGGCTGTATATCGTACAGACCACCTTATAATTTCGTTAGAATTGCCTTTGTTTATTTATTTATTTATTATCAGGTGGGCTGTATATCGTACAGACCACCTTATAATTTCGTTAGAATTACCTTTATTTATTTATCAGGTGGGCTGTATATCGTACAGACCACCTTATAATTTCGTTAGAATTGCCTTTATTTATTTATTTATCAGATGGGCTGTATCTAATACAGACCACCTTATAATTTTGTTAAAATTGCCTTTATTTATTTATCAGGTGGGCTGTATCTAATACAGACCACCTTATAATTTTGTTAAAATTGCCTTTATTATTAGGTGGGCTGTATCTAACACAGACCACCTTATAATTTTGTTAAAATTGCCTTTATTATCAGGTGGGCTGTAAAGCGTACAGAACACCTTATAATTTCGTTAGAATTGCCTTTATTATTTATTTTACTTATTTCAAACCATTTTTTTGTAAGCACGATTACTTGAAAATGGCTCAAATTGTATAGGCATATGTACAAAACACAATAACGTTTTCAACTATGACCTTCACTGATGACGTCATCTAGGCGCCATTTTGTAAATTTTTCTGAAAATCAACTCATGATCATACCTTCATAACCAAAAGCCATTTTTGATTCATATTTATCATGATTAAGGTCAATATTCGTCCGGTCAATTTCAGGTCAAAAATGCGCACGTGCGCGTACGTCCGCGCGCAAAATATTAAAATGCTCAAAATAGTCTCAAAATAATTTTACATACGTTTTAGGCCATTTTAAGCATTTTATAAAAAATCTCGCACACGCGCATGCGCGCGTGTTTTCGCGCGTTCTGGCATTTTGCAACAAAGAATCGTCAATTTTTCTTTGTCATCATATTTGGCACATTTTTCCAAGCATTTTGATACCTTGTTAACATATTTCTGACCATTAATAACGGAGTGAGCGTCCGTTTAAGATACACGTCCGTGCGTGCGAGCTCTTGTAATACATAGCATATATGGGCAAAAACATGCCTATACAAAATCCATTGTAGCTCTTTAGGATGTAAGGTGACCCCAAATTTTGTTTCATATTTTGTAGAGTATGAATTGGAAATATGATTTCTTGTCTCATTTGACCCTCAATTAACTCATGACGTCATCATAATGGCCTCCATACTCAAAATTCCAATTTGCATATTATGACATCAGCATATTTTTGGAAAATTGATTGTATCTCTGTAAATATTGATTGATTTTCTTCCAACTTTCGATATGTTCAAGCTGAAATAATTCACTACAAATGCAATCGACATGATTGTTCATTTCGACAAAGGAATCATGACGTATTTTTGCGATTAAAGGAGGAATATCAATTTTTCACTTTTTGCGTGTATTCTCTATGGGACATGACTTTTTCAAAACTGGATTCTACATTCCCGTCTTTCGCGAGCAATATCGATCTCCGTCGTTTTAGCTTCGTTTACGCTGAACTTCGAGTATTGTAGCTGAGACAATAAGCTATCTTAAATTTGCCCTTTATTTTGTCTCAAATTTTAGTTAGACCAGCCCACCTATACTTGTTCAAATCTAGTTATTATTTGTTATAAGACCGTGTCTAAACTTCCACGTTGTTATAATAACCACACAGGAGGCGTGACTTGAATTAGCTTCCCTTTAATAGTTGTGGCGCTGTAAAGCACATTCAACAATCGTGTGAATCCTGTAAAGAAACAAAAATAAACAAAGAATGACTATTGATTCAAAATACCCAAATTGTTCCTTTTTCCTTAGATTACATTCTTTGTAAGCAAACTTGAGTAAATACATGACCTTCAAGGGTGTATTTAAGTTTAAGACTATAGTGTAAAGCAACTAGAAGTAAATATCCACATTCGAACTCTTAACAAATAACTATTCATTTCACTTCTTTACTCTAATAAAAGTGTCTTGTTTAAGCAAAATAAAAATGTGTTGTTTTGTCTCGTTTCTGAATTACATAAAACTCCATTCAGCATACTATAAATCACATTACAAAAACCCCCCTTTCAAATATTAAAACGAATAACGCGATATTACCTAGGGCGACATAAACAAGACTAACCGTAAGGCGAATCACTTAACCTGGCGTCTAAAAATATCCCTCCGCTATATAATCTGTACGTATAAGTACTACAATTCACTGAAGTCCTAAAATAGCGTAAGAAAAATAGGTCTCACGTGTCATCCCGAATTTATGAAATATGACACCAAAACAATAATGAACGTCTCCAGATAACTTATAAACTATCATGAGATATTTCAGCATCTCTTACACTTCCTTGAAGTATATAACCAAGAATTATTTTACAAATTATCAATCACTTTCACAAGTACCGTAAGCACAGTCAAAACCAATACGGACTTTTACCACTATCCAAACTTCAAGAGAGGCCCAAATTTGTCCTACAAACCTCAAAAACATTAAAGATACACATACAATCCTAGCATAACATACACTCATAAGAATAATAGCACGGAATTAAACATACCTTCAGTTTTTGATTATAAATGAAGGAAAAACTAGGATCAACCAACATGGTTGATGAACCTTCGTACGGTCTTGTTTTGCGCTGTAGCGAAAGTGCTGATAGTCTCAGTTCAGGTAAAAAGGGTAATTATTCTGCCGCGTAACAAATACGGGAAAAAATAATGTCATGCCTTGACATCCCGACCCCCTAAGCGTGACGGAATGTCACAAAAACACAATAAAACATGATTTAAAGACTTAATGGAACACTTATAAGATCAAAGAGAAATACAACGAAATCACTATCCTCTATAAATTGCCCATTAATAGCAATTTTTCTTCGAGCTGTTCAAATGTCCAGTAATCAACAGCTCTTGAACCTTTAAATGTCTGAATTTTTCTTCAAGCTGTTTAAATGTCTGAACGTTCATCTCGCTTCATCAGGGATACAAGTTTTGTGATCGGCCTGGTGGCACGCGTCCCATCTGCATATTTCACTTCGACGACTCTAACAAGGCCATCCTGTCCAGGCTGAGTCCTGACTACCTCGGCCATCTTCCACGACCCGCGTTTTCTGTCATCACCGATGACGAGGACGATATCGTTCTCTTCCACGTTGTCTGAAGATCGTTGCCACTTCTGACGTGGTGCCAACTTGTGGGTGTACTCCATCCATCTACGCCAAAAACCCTCCACCATTGTGTTACACAGTTCACGGCGTTTCCGTAGATCTCCCTTGTAGTCCTCACAAGGAATATCAGGGCAGTTCAGATCTCCTCTCCCAATGAGAAAGTGATTGGGAGTCAGCGGTGGATGATCGAGAGGCGACGATGACATCGCAGTCAGGGGACGGCTGTTGATGAGCCCTGAAATCTTGCAGAAAACAGTCTCCCATTCTACGAAGGTCAGACGGTCAGCCTTCACAAGGTGCCTCATAGCTTTCTTTACTTCTTGGACCATGCGCTCTACTGCCCCTTGGTGATGGGGTCCTCCCGGTGGTCCGAACTTCCACTCAACCTTATAACGTTGACAGTGCTCCCGGACCTGCGTTTGGTTCAGCTTAAGGTTCAGCTCATTGATCGTGTTGTCAGCCCCTCGGAAACAAGTAGCATTGTCACTAACCATCATGGCTGGTGCTCCTCTAATACTGACAAACCTTTCTAAGGCTTGAAGGAATGCCTGAGTTGATAGGTCTTGGACTACTGTCAGGTGGACAGCCCTGGTAACCGCACATGTGAATAAGGCACCATATCCCTTGGTCGTGGTATTACGATTCAGCTTCACCATTACTGGGCCTAGGTAGTCCACCAAGGTAGTCTTGAAGGGTGGCGAACATGGACTGACCCGAAACTCTGGTAAATCAGCCATCCTCTGGTGCGTCGGTTTGCCTCTATGCCGTCTGCAAGTGATGCAACAGCGTACAACACGTCGTGCAATGTTCATGTCCCCCACTATCCAGTACTTCTTCCGAACCTCATTTGCTGTCCGCAAATGACCACCATGAAGGGCATGTAGATGTCTATCGCATACCAGGAGGAAGCTGATATGACTCTTCTTCGGAAGAAGATATGGGTGGCGAATGTCATACGACAGCGGTGCTCTACCTAGACGTCCACCAACACGGTACACTTCACTGTCCTCATCGAAGAATGGGTCCAGCTTCTGTATATTGGAATCTTGGAAGTTTATCTCCTTCTGAGCTTGTCTGACCCAATACAGTTCTGCCTCTTTGATCATTCTTTGGGATGGCCATTCGGAGATCTGCCGGAGGAATTGCTTCAGCCATTGATTCCGGGGAAGCTCCTTGAGGGATAACACCCTCGCCGTGACCATCTGTAGCTTTGACCAGCTGGAGAACTTGGTAGCATCAACAATCGGGGAATTCTTGGACACAGCATTCACAGTTACTGAGAGGATCTTGGTGTTTCGGGAGTGAAACTTCTTCTGTTCAGGATCTCCCGGTTTGACAGGAACATTTTCTGGTGTCCTCGGCCAAGAATGAGGAGGTAGTCTCAAATACTTTGGGCCCTTGATGACCTCCTGCATGTCTGTAACAACGCCTCCTCTGGAAATGAGATCAACAGCATTTTGATCCGTGGGAACGTAGGCGATATCACTGTAGGGGTCAAATTCAGATGTGATCTCACCGACTCTATGTGCGACGTAAGATCGGAAGGTCTTAGACTGCCCTCTAAGCCAACTAATCGCTGTCATGCTGTCTGTCCACATCTTCCATCCGACTATGCTGAAGCGTAGAGCATCTCTGATGGTGATCATCAGTCTGGATAGAAGGAGAAGAGCTTGTAGCTCCTTCCGAGGCATGCTTGTCTGTTTCAGAGGTGTCACTCTAGATCTGGCACAGACGAAGGATAGATGAGCTTCTTGGCTGTCAGCATGTGACCATCTCAGCCACACTGCAAATCCCATGGCGTCCTCTGAAGCATCACTGACACCATGCATGGACACTATGGGTAGGGGTCTCGCTCCCCTATAAGGCTCTGGTATCAGACATCTTGGGATCTCAATGCCGTCCATCTCATTAAGGTCTCTGTTGATCTTACTCATCATGGAGTAGAGCTCACTGCCTTGGTCAAGAGGGGAGTCCCAGTCAAGGTCCAGCTGCCACAACCTTTGAAGAAGAATCTTGGGGCGTACCAACAGTCCGGAAAGCATTCCAAAAACATCGTAATAGGATGCCGTTTGAGCAAGAATCTTCCGCTTGGTGAGGGTAGTATCCTCGAGGGGTTTGACCTTCTTCACTCTCAGTGTGTCCTTAGATAGATCCCAGCTGGTACCTAGGACAGTAGCAGTGTCTGTGTTTTCTGTCTCATCACAGACCTTCTTGACATTAGACTGCCACTTTCTTAAGTTGAAGTTTCCTTTCTTCAATGTCTCTGTCAGCTTGGACTTCAACTCTAGAGCTTCCTCAGCATTACTAACTGACTCGTTCAGGTCGTCCATATAGAATTGCTCGACGATCATTTTCTGTATCTTGTCATCATCTGGTGCATGCTCACGAGCCACATGTCTGAGGGTGATGATTGCTGCGGTTGGAGAGGGTTTATCCCCGAAAGTGACTGTTGTAAGCTCAAAGACTTGTATGGGATGGTTTGGATTCTCTCTGAAAACGAACCTGTGGAACCGAGCATCCTCTGGTGAAATCTTAATAGCCTGGAACATCTTGGATATGTCTGCGATCATGCCCACTTCATTTTCACGGAACCGGAGGGCCACCTCGAGAAGATTTGAGTTAACATTCTCTCCTTTGATGAGACAGTCATTCAGGGAACGCCCTTGGAACTTCGCCTTACCATCATAAACTACCCGGACTGGAGTTGTTTTTGAGTCTTTAACAACCCCAAAGTGTGGAAGAAACCACATCCTTCTGCCTACATTCCTGTCTTGTTGCAACTCGTCCTGTGAAACCTGCCGGGAGACATCCCTTTCCAATTGGTCTCTCATTTGCCGGCAATAGACTTCCCACTCATTAGGCCGGTCTCGGAACTGGTTCTCCAGGCTCTTCTGCCTTTTAACTGCATAGTCATAGTTGTCTGGTAGTTCTTCCGGAGATCGCTTCCAAGGTAAGCGAACCTCATAAGAGCCATCTGGTAGCTGAGTAACACTCTTCTGCATGGATTCAGTTCCTTTCTCGTCATCAGAGAAGCATTTACATTTCCTGGGCTCCAAACCAGCTGTCTCGAGTCCAATGAACTCCTCCAGGGAACCTGAAGCAGCTACACTGACGTAGTTGAGGAGTGGTGCTGCATTAGCTGCTGGGCCTCCTTGAACAAACCAACCTAGAGGACATTTAACTGCAACTGGCTCATCTGGTCTGCTTCCCCTGATGTACTGTTCCCATACCATAAGGTGAGTATTGTCCACTCCAAGCAGCAGGTCAATGACTGGTGATGGGGCCACATCTATCTCTACACCTGTCAAGTGGTCATAGGACTGTAGATGCTCAGGGAAAATGACAGGTGTATTCCCGCATGGCTTATCTATCTCAGTAGCTGTCAACGGATAAGACCAACTCCTTTGTAAATCCTCAATCTCACAATCAAGGACTCTCAGCTTCCGCTTGATATTACTGCCGCCAACAAGGCTAAGGTCATGATCCTGGAAAAGATCACCCTCCATTCTGGGAAAGATTCCTGTTCTCACGAGTGTGGCCTGACTGCCTCCATCCAACAGAATGCGTACTAGGTGTCGTTTGCTGCCACATCGTAGATATCCCATCACGGTAGGTAAGGTAGCATGCAGTTTCCCTACATGGTTGATTGTAGAAGTCTGTATGGAGCTGTTAGACTGAGCGGGCCTCACAGAGTCTGCCTGGTTAGCATAGCCACTTCTCTGATCCTTATCTCTGGCATCACCATGGGCTTTGGGACAGATGGCAGGAAAGTGCTCGTCACTACCACATGTCTGGACTCGGCATGGTGCCCTGAACTGGCACTTGCTGCGGTCATGAGGGGGTTTCCCTGCAATACAGTTGTTATGACCACAACGGAAACATACACCATTTGCTTTCATGACTTCATACTTCTCCTTGAGTGTTAGGGCTTTGAACTTGTTGCAGATCTTGAGGTAATGAGAGGAGTTCTTAGGGTGTAGCGCACATTTCTGGATATCACGAGCATATGAAGGAGCCTCTCTGGAGTCCCAAGACACGGCTGCAGTCAAGGACTTAGAAACTCTTTTTGGTTCCATACTATCTGCGATGGTGGCTTTGGACTTCTCCATAAGAATTTGCTGTCGGAACAGCCACTTGCTTAATCCCGAAATGGAGTCGTCAGCATTCTCATCCCGAACACTTTTGTAGTAGTCCATTCTGTGATCTTCTGGGAGTTTCTGTTTTATTTGGGTAAGCATGATTCTGCTATTGAGCTCCCCAGCCAGGCCGATGGTTTCCGCCTGGCATTCAAAGTTCTGAAGTACCTGGATGAATCGCGCCATTGCTGGAAGATTCACCTTTCCTTTATACTCGTATGGCTTGAGACCATCCAAATCTTGTAGCAAACTGTCCACCACTCGGTCCTTGTCATCAAAACGTTCATCCAGCATCTCCCATGCCCTTGCTACGCTTGAACAGCTTTTGACCAAGTTTCTCTCCCTTTGAGACACCATTGACTCCGCTAACTGGAAAAAACACTCAATTTCTGACAATTCCCTTGTGCAGTGTTGGAACATTTCCTTGTATCTCCGGTAATCTTTGATGTCACCATTAAATGATGGTAGTTTCAGTCTCGCCATCCTAGGGGCACAGGCACCTGCAGATTGATTCTGAAAGGAGGTGCGGAGAGGAGAGCTTGGGAGTGTCACGTTCTGCTGTTGCTCGGATGTCTGCTGTACTGGTGGTGGCGACAACTGCTTGCTGAGAACTCTCCTACCAGCAGTTAACTTCTGGACAAAGTCTGTCTCGCAGTTGGTCATCCACACTTCCTCAGCCTCAAATTCCTCGTCTTTCTCTATGAACTGTACAAGCTCTGCATGCTTCTCTTCCACCTTTACAAACTGTTCTTCAGCCTTGCTGATGTACTGCTTCAGAAGACTAAGGTCTGCAGATTCATCAGAGAGATTGACAATGGATGTTAATGTCCTCGTCAATTGTCCCTTCAGATTTCTCCTCGCCAGCTTTAGAGTCTTCATGTCAGTCATCTTCAGTTGATAGTTATACAGCGGGATTGTTGAAGAATGTTATAAGACCGTGTCTAAACTTCCACGTTGTTATAATAACCACACAGGAGGCGTGACTTGAATTAGCTTCCCTTTAATAGTTGTGGCGCTGTAAAGCACATTCAACAATCGTGTGAATCCTGTAAAGAAACAAAAATAAACAAAGAATGACTATTGATTCAAAATACCCAAATTGTTCCTTTTTCCTTAGATTACATTCTTTGTAAGCAAACTTGAGTAAATACATGACCTTCAAGGGTGTATTTAAGTTTAAGACTATAGTGTAAAGCAACTAGAAGTAAATATCCACATTCGAACTCTTAACAAATAACTATTCATTTCACTTCTTTACTCTAATAAAAGTGTCTTGTTTAAGCAAAATAAAAATGTGTTGTTTTGTCTCGTTTCTGAATTACATAAAACTCCATTCAGCATACTATAAATCACATTACAAAAATCCCCCTTTCAAATATTAAAACGAATAACGCGATATTACCTAGGGCGACATAAACAAGACTAACCGTAAGGCGAATCACTTAACCTGGCGTCTAAAAATATCCCTCCGCTATATAATCTGTACGTATAAGTACTACAATTCACTGAAGTCCTAAAATAGCGTAAGAAAAATAGGTCTCACGTGTCATCCCGAATTTATGAAATATGACACCAAAACAATAATGAACGTCTCCAGATAACTTATAAACTATCATGAGATATTTCAGCATCTCTTACACTTCCTTGAAGTATATAACCAAGAATTATTTTACAAATTATCAATCACTTTCACAAGTACCGTAAGCACAGTCAAAACCAATACGGACTTTTACCACTATCCAAACTTCAAGAGAGGCCCAAATTTGTCCTACAAACCTCAAAAACATTAAAGATACACATACAATCCTAGCATAACATACACTCATAAGAATAATAGCACGGAATTAAACATACCTTCAGTTTTTGATTATAAATGAAGGAAAAACTAGGATCAACCAACATGGTTGATGAACCTTCGTACGGTCTTGTTTTGCGCTGTAGCGAAAGTGCTGATAGTCTCAGTTCAGGTAAAAAGGGTAATTATTCTGCCGCGTAACAAATACGGGAAAAAATAATGTCATGCCTTGACATTATTATTATCATCAACATTGTCACCAGAGCAAGTGTCGCTTCAGGCGGAGCAAATGTCAGCGGAGCAACTGTTGGCGGAGCAATTGTCGGCGGAGCAAATGTCGGCGGAGCTAATGTCGGCGGAGCAACTGTCGTTCGAGGAGCATTTGTCACCGGAGCAATTGTCGCGTTTTGCGGAGCAATTGTCGGCGGAGCAATTGTCGGCGGAGCAATTGTCGGCGGAGCAATTGTAGGCGGAGCAATCGTCGGCGGAGCAACTGTCGTTCGAGGAGCATTTGTCACGGGAGCAATTGTCGCGTTTTGCGGAGCAATTGTCGGCGGAGCGAATATCGGCGGAGCAATTGTCGGCGGAGCAATTGTCGGCGGAGCAAATGTCGGCGGAGCATATGTCGGCGGAGCAAATGTCGGCGGAGCAATTGTCGGCGGAGCAAATGTCGCGGAGCAATCGTCGGCGGAGCATGTGTCGGGTTACCGTTATTGCTTATACGTATTTGCTATCTTTTTTATTTTGTTTTATCTAACCTACCTGGAATGTAGCTGAAGGCCGTAAACAGCCCGAGGGAAACCCCAATATCTGTTGAGGTTGTTCCAAGACTCAGAGAGATGTCTTCTAGAAAGATCCCCATAGATTTGATAGTACCAACCTGAGAACATGCCATAAGAAATATAGTGAGAACCACGGGCAAACTCTGGGGAATGCATCTTACACCACAACTGCGATTCAACCTCTCCATGTTGTCTGACTAGGCACGATATAACTCTTGTCCGGACGCACATCAAATTTTTTTTCTGCTCGCAGACTTGAGATCGTGTATATAGTGAATACATCAGACCTGCCTTACTTTTTGTACACATATGCTCTTGGAATGAGATCAAGCGTGAATTGAGCTCAAAATCCTTCCGATTCACTTTATTGTTCGTCTGTTGCTGTGCATTACGGCTTTGGCCTACGGATACAAATATTCACAATGGCCCATATAATCTAATTGAGCCCTCTTGAACCATTGACTTTCACACACACGTCGGCGGTTTTACGAACCGTCATAAACCCCTTTTAAAGGCAAAACTAAACTGTGGAGAAAATCGTTTCAAAAGTTAGGGCATTTTGCCGACGCTCGTTACTTAGAAATTTTCAAGAACCTTCCGTATTGTTTGATATCATTTTGAAGCACAACTTCTCTAGTTTTGTATTATTGCACCATTTGTCGCATAAATTCAATGTATTATTTGATAATTGTAGAAAAACACATCGCGGCATTTCAGCAACTGCTGATTTTCTCGCAATAAGCATTTAGGTCACTTCGTAAAATCATAAATTGTCGAATGCGCGTGATTTGATGGTGTTGCAACTTAGGTTTAGGACGCTTCGTAAAGTCACGAAACGTATGCGCGCAACACGAGCGCGCGCATACTACGCGTCTGGTTAAGTATGGTATTGGGGGAGTTGAACTTGAGTGGTTCGAATCCTATCTATCTAATAGGCAACAATGTGTATTCTTGCAAGGAACTAAGAGTAATTTTCTAACTGTGAAATCAGGAATTCCACAAGGATCAATACTGGGGTCATTAATTTTCTGCCTCTATATGTGAATGATATTTGTAACCTGCAACTCCATTCTAAGACAAAGATTTCCTTATATGCAGATGACACGGCACTATTTCATCATGGAAAGGATTATAAAGTTTGTGAATACAATCTCCAAAAAGATTTTACCCGTATCTTGAAATGGCTAAAATACAATGGACTGTTTTTAAATGCAAATAAAACCAAAACAATACTATTTGGTCCAAAAGAAAAATTCAAAATAATAAAATTTGTATTCGTTACAGTGACAATGTACTCGACTCAGTCGAAAGTATGAAATATCTAGGTGTAACACTAGACAAAAGTTTAACATGGTCGTTACATGCAGTGGCGTAGATAGGTTCGTACACCTGGGGGGGGGATGACTGGGCTGCCAACGCTAGTGAGGGAGCGAAGCGACCGAGCGGGGGGAGGGTGTGGGAGGGGGGTGTCCCCCCTCCCACGGTAGGGAGCTTTTGCAATTTTGAACTTGAAATCGTGCAATCTGATGCATACTTAATGAGGTAAAATAACACACACAAGCGTGCACGCACACGCACACACACACACATACTCACACACACACACCACCACACACACACACACACACGCACCCACACGCACGCGCACACACACACACACATACTACGCCTTGAATGGACAGACATACATCGACAAGATCTACACACAGTGGCATACGAATACAGAATGGACTGACACATAGTATTGCATATTGAACCACACGTATTTATTTATCTCTGTGAATTTTGCTGTTACACCTCTTCAGAAAAAAAACCAATGTCAACTGTGTACACGCAGGTATAGTCTTTGTTGTCTTGATAGGGGTATGTGGTTATGAATGAAAACAGCCTCTATGGCCATTTGTGAATAGAACACATAAACAACAAACAAATAACGATTAAACTTTGAACAATATGTCTGTTCATTATAAAGCATAATGAATACGTACATACTATGCTTTTTTTTTACCTCAAAGAAACAGGCAAAGTATCCATAGATGGATATTGGCTGGCGGCTCATTAACATACAGATACAAAAAACATAAACAGTATCACTATGATCCATGGAGTAACAATACTGCTTTGTAAGTTTGTGAAGAAATCGGAACCATAACGGCATTGCATCGTTTCAAATTAGGGCATTATTCTATTTGATCTCAGTCTTATAATAGTAATAGTAATAATAATAATAATAATAATAATAATAATAATAATAATATTAATAATAATAATAATAATAATAATAATAATAATAATAATAATAATACAAATAAAAAATAATACTAATACAAATAATAATGCTAATACTAATAGGTTCCTTTTATCTCGCATTTCAAGACAGGGTAAATTCACACTGCGCTTTACATGAAACAAACTTCTTTAAACATTTCAAACTTATGTCTTCATGCATCAATCAACATACTTTAAATGAATACAAAACAAAGTGCATCTTAAATAAAACAAAAATAAATAAATAGTTAACAATACAGAAAAGATGTAGCTGCTGCAAGCTTAACAACAAACTAATGTATACCAGTCAGTCCTGATATCAGTATTAGTGTAACAATAGTCATATAGTGGGAGCATGAAGTTGAACAATTCATGATTATACATAATTATATATGTTTGTTTGAATAGTACTTGTTATAAAGATAGTAGTATGGTACTCTCTGTCACGAATTATTATGTATACTGTTGTATCACATTCATTTTCTATTCTGTTTTAGAATTGGCTTTCACCGTTTGAATGCGGCTAACACTAAACACAATTACAATAATGATGAGGATTATTATTATCATCATCATAATTATTATTATTATTAATATTATAATTGTTATCATTATTATTATTACTATTATTATCATCATTATGACTTATTAAGTAAGCAAATATCATTCCCCAAAACCTGGGGGGGGGGATGATTGTACATGCCATCCCCCCACCTTGTGAGGTGGGGGGATGCATCCCCCTCATCCCCCCGTTGTCTACGCCCCTGGTTACATGTAAAAGAAGTTGTTAGTATCGGGTACGATTGCCTGCATTAGACGTATACGCAATTATATTTCTCGTAAGAATCTTATTACATTATACTACTCTTTTATCCTACCGCATTTAAACTACTGTAATTCTGTATGGGGAAATACTTCGAAACAAAATCTAACAAAGTTGCAAAAATTACAAAATAGATATGCACGATTAGTTCTTCGTGCCGAATATTTTACACCCCAAAATGTTTTAATGAGTAAATTGAAATGGCGGTCATTAGAGGAAA